ACTATGTCATTTGAAGTTCTAAATAGAAATATTATTAGTGTGCAAACAAAACTGCAAGAGACAGTGTATTGGCAGTGGGACAATGGCATGGAAACAAGAGAACGCAGAACATTTGAATATGAAATTCACAGTTGTAGTGCAATACATTACAGTTTGAAACATGTAATTTTGTCATGTTTTGTTCCAGAATAATAATCTGAATAATTCTCCAAGCAGGCAACGTGTTAATATATTGGAGGCCTTTTAAAACAGGGGTGAAATGAACAAGTAAACATTTCTCTGTAAAGCAACCTTTTTGGTGAACTGCTGTTTCTCTCTGAGTCTTCACCAAAGACCATAATTTCATTGGAATCTATACTGGCAGCTCATATTATTGTTGTTTACGATTCATTGGTTCTTTATTATACGCACCTCTAGGTCAATGCAATGTCATGGTAGAGACAGAGTAGCTGACCTCCAGATTCACAGCCCAAAGTCTCAAAAATGTTTAACACCTGAGTGTAACATACACTACCAGTCAAAAGTTTTAGAACAACACAATTTTTCCATTTTTTAAAACTGAAATTCAAGCAGTTTAAGTCCAATGAATAGCTTGAAATGGTACAACGGTAAGTTAAAGCAGAGATTAAAAAAAAGGTAAGGTGACCTAAAACTGAAAAATAATGTACATTTCATCCATCCACTGTTGTAACAAAAGTGAACTATGTGTGCACGTGTACAGGGTATCCAATCATACCTCAGTTGTAAACCTTCCCACCACAAACCTTCAAAGCTGACAGCAGCATTCAATTTGACAGCAAAGCAAGAGACAGAGAGTGAACGAAGGAGCAAGAGGGCTTTTAAAGGGGTTTCCTCCGCCCCGATTGGAAAACCGGCCAGAGTGCGAGCCAATCATCCGCTCACAGGAGCTCACAGGAGCTCACAGGTGGCAGCCAATCTTCTAATTATCACCTACAGGAGAGAGGTGGAGAGGGAGACACACACACACACAAATCTTTCATTCTGCACATAGCAATTCTCTATACACCGCTTAATCCTCACTAGGGTCATGGGGGGCTGGAGTCTATCCCAGCTGACTTAGGGTGAAGGCAGGGACCCTGGACAGGTCGCCAGTCTATCACAGGGCTACACTTAGAGACAGACAACCAAGCACACTCACATTCACACCTACGGACAATTTAGAATCACCANAAAAAAAAAAAAAAAAGCCAGTTGAATACATTGAAGTGTTTAAAAAAATAAAGCTATAAAAAAATAAAGTGACATTTTCTCAGTGCACATAGTGAAGCTGCACAGCCTGAAGAGCACTTGTGCTGTTCACAGTACTGAAGCAAGGCACAGCCCCAAAAAGTCTACTTTGGCATCCTGTTAACCCTCACAATCCTTGCTCCAGCCCCAGAGCTGAGCCCAGCATGGCCCTGACCTTGCACACCCCCAGGGAAGCCCGCAGACTCAGCCAGGAGCAAGGGGCTGACGAATGGACCTCGGCCCAGTAGTGCAGCATCTCTCTGGGTGGGATGCGATGGATGGACACCATGGCCTGATAGCAGCAGCGTCCGTATGGCACAGCCGGACCACCAGAGAAGAGAGGGCAGTGTGAGGGCAGCACTCCAGCTGTCCGTGCACACAGACCCACAAATACATCCTCAGGAGGCAGAGGTGTGGATAAAGGTGATGCAGAGGCTGCCAGGGAAATTTTGAGCAATGCAGAGCGGGACAGGACATAGGCAGTACCACTGCAATAGTCTGGAAAGACTGAGGCAGGGTAAGCCCCTGAGGGGAGGTAGTGCTTGCTGTCCGGATCACGGTCCGGAGCCACATGGAGATGCACCCTGCCAAGATACAAGTCTCCTTGCTCATAGGGGTTCCTACTCTTGTTCAGGAAGTGGAGCAGGGCGCTGGGGTTGAACAGGACATCATCGTCCACTTTGGCCATGAAGTGAGCTTGGGGGCAGAACCGACGGGCCCAGCCCAGCATGGACAGGGTCTTCAGAGTGAGGTTGGAGTAGCTGTCCAGAAAACGCCCCTGTATCAGGTCTCCTCTCTCCCGGGCTTCTTCTATCAGCAGCTTGGCCAATCCGGGGTCAGAAGCCACACCCACCATAAAAAGAGTCATGACCCGCAGGCCCCTCACCTCCACCTCCCCTCCCCAGGTATCCCTGATGGCTTGACGGGCCCTCTGATTGGCAGGAGCAGAGGTAACCATGGTGATGAGGTAAGGCTTGGCACGCTGGCACACGAGCGGGCTGGGCATGAGCAGGAACTCCTCGGGTCTGGTTGGAGGGACGCTTTGCGGAGGGATGACGCCGGCGTGCGGCTCCACCACCGAGTTCAAGCTCATGGAGGTGACCCACGACTCGATGAAGTCCACAAAGAGCAGAGCCAGCAGCGCGGCGCACGTTACCACCGCGCACAGGAAAGGCAAAATCCCGAGCCTGTTCCCCCTCTTTCCAAACCGGGGCTTGCATACCCACAATCCCCGTCCCACCATGGCCAACCCCCGCTTCTTAATGCGCAGCTCCGAAGACCACTGTAGCTGCTGCGACGCTCCCCGTTTCTCCCCAGTCTATCTCCTCTTGTCTTTGCGGCTAAAGGCGCTCCGCTGTCATTGCATTTTTGCGCGTATCCTCACCTCTCGATGCCCAGCCGGAGTCAGACGCAGCGGCGGACGGTGGAGAGCCTCAGTGTCACTAGAGATGCGGTAAAGCGGCTGATGGACTTCTGTTGATGTTGCAGCCCAGTCGATTACTAAAAAAAAAAAAAAAAAAAAGTGGGATATGCAGCTGCGCAAAAGAAACGGTCGATTCGCCAGCAGCCCAGCGCTATTTTTTGCCCCGACGTGGAGCTGCTCACTACTCAGCTCTGATAGGGCGTCCGATGTCCTATTTACCTATAGATGGTGAATTAATGCAAAAGCTACATGTTTTTGTTTAGCAAAAATCATGCGTCAGATTGCATTGGTCATTTATATACTATATCACAACAAAGCTAGCCGCACTATGAATAAATTATACAAATCTGTGAGGTGCTCTGCTAATAAACATCCATTAAACCCTGCTCAGCTTCCGATCATCGCAGTAATGGAGTTCTAAAAAAAAAAAAAATGTCCCGCATCCTTTGCATCGGAGTCCATGAAATATGTCAGATCAATAGATAGAAGAGCGATGTGAAGTTTTCAACCCAGAGAAGCAAAAGTAAACACTTCTTTAAAAAATAATTTTAAAACAAATAAAAATCAGAGGTGTTGTTTTTTAATTGTGCTTCATTTGAATGAAGCTCTGCTGTGCGCCTATTGTTCTCTGCGGTCAGTCCATCACACCTAATGGCGCAGGGCGACACCTGCTGGTCGCTCGATGGTAATTGTTGCTGGATGAGTGTTGGCATGGCTAAGGTTGGTCCATATTGCACTAATTGGTTGTCATAAGGTGGTTCATGCAGATATGAAGTGATTCTGTTCCCTTACTGCACAGATCTGAGTTATTCGTTGGTGGCAGTGCAGTCCACAGCCTCCATGCAAAAAAGAAGAGGCTGCAGTTTTCTAAATCGTCATAATTGTATGTATGCAGTTTGCACACATCAATAATCCTGGCTGCAGGCGGTGCAAAAACTACAAAGGAAATGAGAGAATGAAACAATGTTCATGGCTGATAGTCAGAGAAATTTGATCCTACCACTATTGTGAAGGAAAAATTACTTTCCTGGTTTGGAGTCAATCTTTTAGAGAAGATATTAAACCCTGATTGACCTCCTTAGCTAAATGTAGTGCTTGTAGCAGATGGGAATTCTGGATCTTTTCTATACATTCTTGACCTCACATAAACCTCATTGTAGGAGGACAGACAGGCACTGCCTGCACCTCTCAAGGCCAGATTATACCCAGACGCCAACTTATCTCTGTTTTCCTGTCACCCATAAATCTGGATGCGGATCCCACTGAAGGAGGATATAAGACTAAAGGCGCGAGAGGGATCTTTAGAATTGATGCTGGCATTGCATACGTTAACTGTTGTTCTGTTAGTGTCACTCCTGCTGATATCAGTAAGCCTTATTTCAACTCAACTCATCTGAGTCTCTGGTGTGTCTCTGTGTCGGGCTGCTCATCCTAAATCAACCTCCTCCAGAATTTCCATAACAACTATCATTCTGCACAGTGATGCTTAGACATCCAACAAAAGTAATGATGGGGAAAACACATGTTTGAGTGCAGGAGCTTTAAATTCACAAGTAAAATATATAATGTTTAGACAGATTTGTGTATGAAGTTGTAGGTCTGTAACATTTACAACATAAGTTGGTCATGAGTTATGTTTTAATATATTTTGTTGCTTGAGATCTGCATGATAAATGAAGAACAATGCATGTATGGATGCAACTCTTGTGAATGAACTCAGTTAAAGCATACAAAGAAAGAGCAGTGTGATTTGTTGTGCTTCAAAAGCCTTTTTAAAGTGAACTTGCAAAATACAATGAAATATGATAGCAGTATACACAGTTCAGGATTTTTGATTG